ACATTATTACAAATCACTTATGGACCTCAAAGGTTTATTAAGGAACTGCTACTTCTAGTCACTGTCTTTTGCTCAACAAATTGCATTTTCTCAGTAATTCCCAGGTTTTATAGTTTATCCTGTAATGTCTCGTGTTAAGTGGTACACTTTACAGTATACGCGCATGTGCAGTTTTGATCAGAGCTTTAGTTGCATAAGCAGAGAGACGGTTATATTGCTGTTATCAGTGAGGGACCTGCAGCGTTGCTACCAGTGTATGGAGTTCACTCAGTTGGAGGAGGGCAACAGCACAAAGGCGTCTGGAGGAAGGAGCTTCAGCAAACATATCTCTGCTAGTCCAAATGACCCTGACTAGGTCTGCTGCTCCTTTGGGCCTGCCCAAGATAAGCCCATGACATAGCCAGTTAAGACAAGATAATGTCAAAGATTAAGGGCTCCCAGCTCTGTAAGCAAAGAGCTCTTATTTTGTTCATTTGGAGGGGTGGTTTGCGTTTGCCACCCTTTCAGTGAGCGTGTAGAAATAATTGCAGGGAATAAGACAATATAATATTATGCCCATTTCCATATTTAACTTAATTTAACTTAATACGTTATAATTTATTAGATACAGTTTTTAATTATCCTATTTTCATTTGTTCAAAGGAAGCAAAACACGTTCAAGGTTCAAGGTTTTCCTTGTAAAGGTCCAATTTAATGATGTTTTATTCAAAATCAGCCTGTCCAGACTATCACTGACAGGTTTTATTTTTTTTAATAAATTAATTTATTTCAAAGTAAAATAAAATCAAGAGCAAAGGACATTTACTAGGCTTTAAATACATGTTCCTCATTTTGAAAATACAAATTCTCTCATAACTGTCAGCATGTCTTTTTTATTTTTATGGAGCCGTCCAAAAGCTGATGAGCTTATTGGAGGGAATTTTCCACATACTGATATCTTACCAGCAAGGTTAACAGTCCCTTCAATTGTAATGTCAAGGATACATTGACACAGTCAGATCTGGAAATTACAGGTAATGTTTGCACTTACAAAAGCCAATCATGATGCGGCCTCATGCATCTTATCATTTAGACTACAGTCATCATGAACAAAGGCCACTTTAAACTGCTGAACAAAACCACACATTTCCCATATTTACAACCTTCTGTGAATGATATATTTGGCTCACTATGTGTGTGTAGGTGTATTATAACATAATTGTATTTTTACAACTTGTGAGGCAACAATGATATAAAACATTATGGCTTCACACTCATGAACATAAATTGACTTAAATTGGACCTTGACATTTAGCATTTTGGTTGTCTGATAGCACAGGTACAGTACATTGTTATCTAAATTATGAGTTCATTGTACTTCCGGAATCTTTGCATCTTTTTAGGGCCATAGAAAGGAAACTCATCCTCAAGGTCAGTGCATGACCCAATTACAATCCAATATAAACTTATTTTAAAGAAAGTAAAGAAAATGCTCTATACAACTATTTGCTGCCTCATTTGCAATTTTATGAGGATGATGAAAAAGAAGGCTTTATACATTATATTAAATATCTTAAAATAATTAAACATTTGACTTTTATTTTAAGTTTATTTTTTCCGCGCTCTCAATCAACATTAAGAATATCTGTGTTTGTTAATTTGTACAGAAGTGTCAAGGTGTGGCTAAATTTTGATAGATATATTTGAGCCATCTTTCACCGTTTTTGTGAGTGTGATATTTTAACAGTGCAATGCACGGCCAAAACAAGTTCCTTAGCTTGTATGTGGGAGATGCAGCGCCCTGGCTGAGGGAAGTTGTTGGCATCGACCTCAAGGCTTTTCATCTCAGTGGCTTCAGTGGAGTCCAGCCTTAGTAAAACTGGCACGGGACGCATTCTGCCCAGGGGTGGGATAGGCTCAGCTGAGAAACTGGGAGAAAACATGAGCAAATGAGATGGGACTGCCACCACTCTCAGGCTGCCTATGGGATAGCCTCTCACAGCCTGGTGAAAGCAGCTTAATGAAAGCAGAAGAAGAGACGGGGGGGGGGGAAGGAGGAGTCCATGCATCGAGTTGCATGCTTTTGCTCTGTTGTCTTGTGTCACTCTTTTCTCTTGGGGTGGGGAGGTGGTGGTTGGGGTGGGAGTGGGGGGGGGACTTGTAAGTCACATGGTAAGAGCTTGATCTGTTACATAAACGCAGACCTCCACAGCCCCAAGTCTGCTCGCATCAACTTTGTTCAGTAAATACATAAGGGTAAAACTCTTGTAATGACATTGGTGGCGGCCAAGGAGAGTTGTTGAGATGTTCACTCCTCCGTGTTGCATCACTTGTACACTCGGCTACGCTTCAAACCCTCACAGCTCCCAGTGACCTCATAGAGGTGAAACTGTCTGGGAATTTAAACAAAATACTGATCCTCAATTATTTTTGGGATCAACAATACACCATTTTACTAAATTAAATTAATCTATGAAATAGGAACAGTATCAACTTAAAAGCGCATGTGCAGTTTTGATCACATTTTAAAATGTATTTAGTCAGTCACTTCAGTCTGTCGTCATGTTTGTCAGCTGTCATGTTGTATTTTTTCACAGCTGTTTCCATCTCACAGATGTGACCGTGGAGGGAAAAAAATATGTATCTTTTTTACATTTAACATTAAATATAACTTTGACCTAATGAATATTAAACACTCCTATTTGGCTGTCACATGATGCCAGTCCTTGTGACAACAGCAATGTCAAACAATGTCTCACAGGGGAATGCTGTTATATTTTCCTGGCTCTCGGCAGTCCAATCAATATTTATCAACTCGAAACACAGTTTCCCAAAGCTAGAGTAGCCTGACATGTCCGAGGACACAGAAATGTTTTCCAAACTAGAAAGTCATTGACTCAATGCATTAGTGATTCTTTTTTTCCAGATTGGCTATTCAGACATTTTCAAACACTTTCAAAGACTAATTTAACTCTTTGGTAAAAGATGTATTTGTCAAAACTATAATATTTACAAGTACCAATTAAATGCAGCTCTATTATTGAAGATTAATAAAACGAATAACACTGTGTCAGAAGATCTAGAAAACTAAACTAATTAAGAGTTATGTTTAAACTGTAAAATCTATAAAGATAGATGATTAGAATTGAAAAATAGAACTTGTTTATTTTACATTTATCATCACATAATCTTGTTAGATTCATACTGAAGGCAGAGCAATATATAAAGTACTGCACAGTTCATGTTAAAGACCTGCATATCATGACTCATTTCAGCAAAGTAGAGTAAATAAAATCTCCATTAGTGTTTATTGTAAATCCCAGTATCTTTCACCAACTGTCCAGGAACATAAACTCGAAATGATTTCGACTTGAACGTTCACTTATTGACGCTTTGCTCGGGACCATCTGTGTCTTTTGGAGGATGTAAAAAATTTGGATGGAAAGGAACGAAGTAGAACTAAAAAAACACGTGCGTATCCGTCCCTTAGGGTTAGCACATGTCCAAACCCCAAATGCTCTAGTCATTCCAGCAGCATCCCCTGTCTCCTTCTCCTCAGTGCTCCACCAGGGGTGCTCGATACGCCACATCTCCTCTGTCAGATGGAGAGGGGAGCCTCGGAGGCGAGGCCTGCAGAGGACAGATCCTGCAGGGCCCAGATGGCTAGCTCTCTGAGCTTTCTTCAGAACGCAAACTAATCAGACTAAATAAGCTCTAAATGACTTCTCATGTGCTTGTACAATCTCCTTCTTGACATGTCTTCCTGTAGTTCTCTTTGCTCTCTTTACACCTCAGACTGTCTCACATTCTCACAATTTATGAAGAGGCAGGAAATTAACTAATTCTCATCATTATTTACAGAACTGATCTGATTGATCAGTTACCGATGTTGATGAACGTTATTCTTGGCTTTATAGCTACAGGTCATAACTACAGGTTATTGAGGGCGCTGTTAAAGTAATAAGTAATAAAAAATAATATGGTCACTGTGACATTGAGCAGAGAGGTTTCATTAATGTTAGCCAGACACTAACCCGTTTATCTGTCCTCTATTAAAAGTAAATGAGTTAAGATCACTTCCTAAACCTGACTGCAGGATTTGGCACACAGGAGGAGGAAATGTAGAAATTCCTTTCCGATTCTAATCCTGCATGAATCACCTCCTCATCTGTATTTTGTCGTGCCTTGTTTCTTCAAAAAAGCAATTGAAAGTAGTTTATGTGCAGGAAAGTAACTTGCTGTCATGTTGAAAAATCCATCACATGCCTCTAAGTCACAACGTGTGCTACTGCGCTCTGTAGGCCTGTAGCATAAACATGAAGTCGGAAAAAGAGGTGTAACGGTAGAGCGGAGTGGGACTCATCCACTGCTCTGTTATCTGGCCATCTGCCTGGATGGAGGATCTAAATATTATGACACTTGATATGACGGAGCATACCTGCTGGTTAGATTCTGGCGGATCTGCACTGAGGCAAGGTGGCTAATGTCTCTGTGACATTTCTGTCCTCAGACTCCCTGTATCTGTCTCCCTGAAGTTGTTTTTTCATAACTGTCACACATTGTAAACTGTTATGCAATTGACAGACAATATAGACCTTGCTAATCTGCAATCACTGTGTGTGTGTGTATGTGTGTGTGTGTGTGTGTGTGTGTGTGTGTGTGTGTGTGTGTGTGTGTGTGTGTGTGTGTGTGTGTGTGTGTGTGTGTGTGTGTGTGCGCGCGCGTGCGTGCGTGCGTGTGCTAGAGAGAAAGGGACATTTTGCATTTTTACAAATTGTGTTTTAAGTGTAATACAACTCAGAATGAGCTTCTTCTTATGTAGGGGGTTGGGGGGCATGAAGCCTTTAATCAGTAAGAAGTGCTGAGAGTCATAGATGGATGGAGATATGGAGGTGTAGAGAGAGAGAGAGAGAGAGAGAGAAGAGAGAGAGAGAGAGTCAGAGATGTAGAGAGAGTCAGAGATGGATGGAGATATGGAAATGTAGAAAGAGAGAAAGTGAGAGAAGAGAGCGAGAGAAAGAGAAAGACCCTCATCATCTGTGTTACAAATGTTGCACATGAGTGTTGGGGGGAGGTCGGCTGTGTTGCGATTAACACGCTCCCTCAGCCCCGGTGTTCGTTTCAGTCTGCACTGAGATATCCTCAAGTCTGAACCCTGGGATGAGGGGATGAGGGTCACTCGCCAGAGGATTTTTTTCTTCCTCTCTGTTTTTTTTTATACTTTCTTCACGGGCAGAAGGCTGGTGTAATAGAAACCAGACACAAGTCAGAATGTAAGGCATTCACAGCAGTGAGACCTCACTTTTTTCACAGAGTTGAAGGAATACAGGATTAAAAGAAAGTCTAGATCAAAGCAGCACCAAAATTGTTCCTTGTCTTTTTTTTTTCTTACCAATCTGGAAGTTGTAATAAGAAGAGGAAGGCTGGACATGAGGATGAAATATGTGTTCAAAGGATCACATCGTGGAGGGGATATCTAGAGAGGGCAGAGGAGACATTCAGGATGGGAAATGCATGTGCAACTATTCCAGGTGGGTTGTTTTGTCTGTTGTCTCTGACTTTTTGACGCTGTAGAGTAATTTTAGATGCATATTTTTAAATAGTAAAACTGTGGACTGTTCATGATGTCCCATGTCTTCTTTAATCATGTTTAGAGATAATGCAACACAGTTGCAATAATCCTTTAAATATAAATTAATACTCTGCTGTACAGGAAAAGTCATTGAAAGAGTGTCAATATGTCATTGTTTTTTAATTTAAATGTGATGCATGCTTACTAAGATTACGCATGTTATGCCTGTATTTGCATCAATGATTAAATAGCTGGTCTTCATTAGGTCGGAAAATGTGTCATAGCGATACAGCATTTTCTAAACTACCCCGTATTCCTGCACCAGGATGGTGACAGTAATCTGTTCATGTCCTGGTTTATTTTTATTAATTATATGAAATGAAAAATAGTAAATTGTTCGGAGTAATTCGTTCTGTATGACACCTTTGTAGAAAGAGACGCAGAAATCAAAACATGACCTTGAATAATATTTGAAGTGGAAATATGTTTGCTTTAATAAGTCTTGTTTCTTTCATATTTCTTATCTTAATGTGAGTTGTCTTTATCATCAGTACAGTTCAATCTTTTGTCAACGTAAGTGGTAAATTCTACTTAAGTTTACAATCTTGTTTGAGGAGAAGCCAGCTGTAACAACCACTGTAGGGACAATTTAACACAGACAGGGTAGCAAATAATCAACATAACAAGCAGTAGAATACTTGCAGAGTTGTTTGTTCAGGTTCACTTCAGGTACACTGGAATGACATAATGAAAGGTTTATGTATAACGCTGATGCCATAAAAACAGATTCATTCAAACTTTAGTGTAAATTCTCAGTAAAGCCTCCTCATGTCATGCCATCCTGAGGCCCACATGAGCTACCCACCATATAGGTGCCATCTGTCTCCATGTGGCGATCCCCCTCCCCAGCCCCACTCAGGCTGGATCTGGAGGGGAGGCCTCGTGGCAGAGCAACAAGCCTCTCCTGTTCACTCAGATGGCAGGGGAGACGGCACATCCCACGCCAGGGAACACAGTGCCGCAGTCATGAGATCAACATGAACTCTGCAGCTCTGAAAGAGGAGGACAGAAGCTTTACGCTGTCTCCTCCTCGTAGCTTCATTTACCTCACAGTCTACAGTGACTGTGACAGTGTGAGGCGTCATGTCATCTGTTGTATAGTGTGTGTGTGTGTGCCCGTGCACATTTGTGTGACCCTTGGCATGATGTGTTGAAAATACGGAGTACAGTATGTTTCTGATGTGGCACTTTGAGTGGAGCACAGTCCTTTTTATACATTCAGAGCTCTGTCAGCTTCAGTTTGTGTTCTCAGTCTGTCACGCTCGTGTAGTGTTTGCCGTGTTCCTGGGTCAAAGCTACAATCAAAGTGATTGTTGTTGCTGGTGGGGTTTTGTGTAGTTGACGGAGTGTTTATTTGTCATCCAATTTGCTGCGTTTCCCCTTCGACTCCCAATCTGTTCAAATGGGATAGTAGAATTACTGCATGTAATGTGATTATAGAGAGTGATCACCTCACTTACTCATTTTATCAAACCTAGCCATTGTCTTATATTTGACCGTGTAATCTATTGAAAATGGATGCCCCCTCCTTATCAAACAGTTATACTGTACAACAGACTGTTTTACACTGAAGGACAGTATTCTCTCTCTCAAAAAGCTGCGTGGAATCAGAGTGACTTCATGGGTTGAAAAATTAAGCCAAGACTTACAGAAGAACAGTGATTTTTCTGGTTACTTAATAAAAAGGCAAGAAACACTTTTAGTTATAGGCCCAACAGATTACAGTTGAAATGGGGTTAAGATTGGGCAATTAAATAGGTGATGACTGAAAATTAATTGGAAGATAAAATGAATACAATTTAAAGCTCCTGTGAGGAACTTCTAGGTCTATTTATCATTTTGTCGCCCTATGTGAACAAAGTAATACACCATTCATCTTATAAGGTGATTTCACATTAGAGACCAGGGTCCGGATCCGAGTACACTTGACCCCAAAGTCTGGATCATTTGATCAGAGTGAACACAAACATAGTCGGCTTGAAGAGGTGGTTACGGGCGAGATTCAGGTGTTCTCAAGTATGGTCTGCAGGAGATGTGAACGCAACCGTGCTCAAACAAGAAAGTGGACCGCTATATGACGTAATACTAAAAGGCTCCTGACGCTTCAGAAACCGTCGTATCCGCACAGCATGGGCCCATTTTCTCCTCTGAGCTGCATGGTAGATTTGGAATTAGGAAGAGGGTCGCTGTTGGCGTCTAAGAAATAACAAAAAATATTCACAGTTAGCAGGATGGACTTCTTGGTGCATTTGCAAACCAACTATGTGCATACTGCCCCCTGCTGTATCGGACTGTGTACATACCCAAGTGTACTCAGGTGTGCAACAATGTTACTAATGTGAATGCAGACCAATTGAGGAGAGGGGAGGGGGAGCAATCTGGCTCTGACACAGTGCGAAATAATTGTGCTAATGTCAAAACTCCCTTATTTTCTTTTTTAGGTCATAAAAGAAGCACCAGTGTTTATTTCTGAATGTTTCATAACTGGTTGAAAACTCCTCATAGGAGCTGTAAGTTATTTTTTGACAATGCCATAAAACTGCATTGCTCCATATTCACTAATGTGTTTGTTTACAGTAATTATTGGTCTTTATGATAGTTATTTAAATATCTTTGGGTTTTTGGAGTGGCAGTCTAACCAAACAAGACATTTGAAAATGTCAGTTTGAGCTCTGGACATACTGTTGATGCACTTGGCAGATATTTAAATGTGTTTATGTTGAGTTGAAGCCTTCGACTGTATTTGCTTTGGTTTAAAAACTTCTGCAAGCTAATACGTCCAACAATTCCTAAGTAAGAAATGTAATTAAACAAAATATTTTATCAGCAAGTCAAGTTCATACCATTTATTTAATAATAGATCTCAATGAATTTCTTTATTCTCTTTCCAGATTCTAGTTGAAAAGCTTACCAGAGCAACATGAGCTGGAGCTTTCTCACTCGTCTCCTGGAAGAAATCCACCATCACTCCACCTTTGTGGGGAAGGTGTGGCTGACCGTGCTCATCATCTTCCGCATCGTGCTCACAGCAGTCGGAGGAGAGTCGATCTACTCGGACGAGCAGACCAAATTTATCTGCAACACCAAGCAGCCGGGCTGTGACAATGTCTGCTACGATGCCTTTGCCCCTCTCTCACACGTCCGCTTTTGGGTCTTCCAGATCATCATGATCTCCACTCCCTCCATCATGTACCTGGGTTACGCAATCCACAAGATCGCCCGAACATCAGAGGAGGACCGCAGGAAGCACAACAGGCTCCGAAGAAAGCCTCCTCCTCACTCCAGGTGGAGAGAAAGCCACCATCTGGAGGACGTTTTAGAGGAGGATGAGGACGACGATGCTGAGCCTATGATCTACGAGGATACACTTGAGGTGCAAGAGGCCAAGCCTGAACCTGTGAGCAGCACAAGCAGAGACCCACCAAAGCACGACGGACGCCGAAGAATTATGCAAGAAGGACTGATGAGAATGTATGTTCTTCAGCTCATGTCACGAGCTATTTTTGAAATTGCTTTCCTGGCAGGACAGTATCTCCTCTACGGCTTTCGAGTTAGCCCTTCATATGTATGCAACAGGATCCCCTGTCCTCACAGAGTGGACTGTTTCATCTCCAGGCCTACAGAGAAAACAATCTTCCTCCTTATCATGTATGTGGTAAGCTGTCTTTGTCTAGTTCTAAATGTGTGTGAGATGCTTCACCTGGGAATAGGCACCTTTCGGGACACCCTTCGTATGAAGAGGATTCGGGGCCGACGGACGTCCTACGGCTGCCCGTTCACTCGCAACATCCAAGGCTCCCCTCCAGGGTACAACCTTGTGATGAAGACCGACAAACCTAGCAGGATCCCTAACAGCCTCATCACACACGAGCAGAATGTGGCCAATGTGGCCCAGGAGCAGCAGTGCATCAGTCCAGATGAGAACATCCCTTCTGATTTGGCCAGCCTTCATCGGCACCTCCGGGTGGCCCAGGAACAGCTTGATATGGCCTTTCAAACTTATCAAACCAAAAACAACCAACAAACCTCCAGAGCAAGTAGTCCTATTTCTGGGGGCACAATGGCAGAGCAAAATCGAGTCAATACAGTTCAGGAGAAGCAGGGAGCAAGGCCGAAGTCGGCCACAGAGAAGGCTGCAACTATTGTGAAAAATGGAAAGACCTCTGTCTGGATATAGAGGTGCATCTCATTTAGTAAATTAACAGTAAAAACATTTAGGACTTTGAGACTGCACTGAAACACAGCTGGAGGATCTGTGTGTGAGATGCAATTTAAGACAATAACAAGTGAGAATTTCAATCACACTTAATGAAGAATTACGGTTCAGTTTTGGGAATAAAAAAGAAAAATACTTTAAGGAAATATCCAATCTAGTATCATGAATCTTCTTTGTTACTGTTGTGTGTAATCCTATACTTAACATAGTTTTTGGACACATAATTACCTAGTAAACATCTCTAATTCCAGCTAAAATGTCAAAGTATAAACAGACTGCTTGGAGCTATTTATCTGAACTACCCTTGACTGCCACTGAACTGGATTAACATGAAGACATTTAACTTCTGTAAGTGTGTGATTGTACCTTCAATCCAAATTAGAAAAAGTGGTGAAAAGCACAAAATGCACAATGAGTCATTTCTTGAGAATGATGATTGTTGTTGGAGGGATGCATGGGAATTTTGAGAGGTTTTTTGGGATGCAGTATGGATGAGTGTTGCTGGAAGCAGATTTAAAGTGAAATATTTTGATAAAGATATTGAAAAAGGGCTGTGTTATGTCGGCTCTTGTGGTTAACATCTGCTCACTTTGTTGGTCTTGGGCCATAGCCTGCAAAGCCTTCATCTACTCTATATTTCCTAAACCTGCAGTGGGGGTGAGGTAAGTGGATAGCAGATATTTTTAAAAAATATATATATATTTTCTGCAATCTGAAGCAGACGATGCATGCTTTACAACTGGGAACATAGTATACACATAGGTTACAATAGAAAACCCCACCCTTAGCTACTCAACTTCATTTACCTTACGTTTAGGCATGTTTTCCTTCATTGAAGCAGTATGTTTCTAGAATTGGTTTCAGAGTAATATTTAATCCAGCCTTCAGTGTTCTGATACTTCAAAGTGCCTCAAACTTTTAAAGACTGTTCAAGTATTTTATTCAAGAGGAAATAAATCTATTTGAAACCTGATTTCTTGCCTCTCTGTTTTTTTTTTTCACAAATGAACACATTTATCATTTCAAACTTAAGAAGGTAGAGGCTGTTGTTTTTTTTAGGTATTTAAGGCTCTTTTTAAAATGAAGATATATTATGCATATCTTGTCATAATAGTATCCTGAGAAGATATGCTAATGTAAGAAAAGACTACAGCCCATATATTTAAAAAAAACGTGTTTTTGTTGTTGCGATAACAAGTCTTATAAAAGGATACTTTTTCACGTGACAGTAATATAAACTCACATACTTGTTGCTCTTCATGGTAAAATGACATGCACAGCTTGGCCTTAGCCTGATGCATTAACAACTACAACTACTAGAATAGTTGTACATTTCAGACTTTATTTTTTAACATATTTAGTAACTAACATATTAATAACATCTATAGGTGAAACAGGTAATTTAAGGAAAATAAAAAAAAACATCTGACGCAAAACAGCGTCACACCGTCACACGTGTGTTTGAAATATTTTCGAGCAATGCATTCTGGGATGGCAAAATGGAGGCGCCTATGGTTGTCTGCAAGCTTTATGTAGTCGTCCACTGTGATGAATAGAAGATCAAACCACTTAATTTAAACACCAGCTACACTCTTAACATTAACATACAATATGGGGCTTTTATTTTTCTGCAGAGGAGCGTTCACGTCCGCTAATCGTGTCGGAAAATACGGTGGTCGGTGTTTGTGCGTAACGTTGAACGTCTCCGGTGCTTCAGCTCCGTCAGGAATACAAGTGAAGAGGTACAGCAGCCAGGGGACGAATAACGGAGGAGTTGCACCGGGACAGTTTGTGTGCTACCACCTTTGTCACCGGACCTTACTGAAAATCCAGGGACAAGACACGAGCCCGTTCCTTCAGGGGATTATAACCAATGACATGACGCTGCTGGAGGAGCCTGCACACAAAGTCATGTACTCACATATGCTGAATGTGCAAGGAAGGACACTATATGACATCATGTTGTACAGGTATAGTACGCGTCATAATGCCGTTTAAACACTTTTTTTTTGTTTTTTTAGGAAACACGAGGGTGCGGCTCCTTATCTTGTGACGCAGTTGTTGGCTCATACATTACAGCAAGTGTGAGACCGCAAACTATACACTGGTCTTCACTTTAGATTTTATACGTTTTAAGATCGAACAGTTTTGCTTTATTATTTGTATCCCCTTGAGGGGTTACTCTCAGTTGCAAACCGTAACCAAAAAATCCCTCATAACACTTTCACAAAGTAGACCCTTATTTTTATAGAAATGGTGTTCCTGCTACATGTTCCTAAGGTGTGTCCTTTTAAAAAAAATCGTTTGTGTTTTATTTTATGTCTCCATTGAACACATTTTCAGCAGTAAATCAATTCAATGTTGGACTGTACTAAATACAATTTAATTTAACATTTTTTTAACTTTTCTAACCTGGTGTATCATTTAAAGTTTGTTGACAAAGTAACCATATTTATATGAAAGTGATCACAGTCTTGAGTTATAACCAGTATTATAATGTTACCTTTTTGAGTGAATATCTGCAATATGACAACAAAAGCTTGTGTAATGCACATAGACTGTAGGAAGCCTCTTTTTTTTTTTTTTAAGATGAGGGAAAAAAACACTAAATTAACCAGTGGAATTTCATGTTTCTGAAGATGCTAAATTATAGTTTTTAGGTTTTATTTTGATTTAGTTTGTTTGTATATACTGTCAAATTAGTAATTTTTTTATTGTCCTTGAAGATCAAATAACAAGATATCTTAATTAAATCATTTGATAGATGCAGCAGTCTGTTTACAGTTTGTTAGAAGCATAATGTCAAATATAAAAAGCCCCTTCACAAATATTGTTCATGGTGAATATATGAACAGCCTGTGTTTGGTACAAATTTACTCAAAACCTTTTTCGTTGCAACTGTTAAGGCAGGAGAATGTATACCTTTATCTTTTATACACATATGGACATTAGTCATGCCATGTAGCTCCATTAAAGCTGCAGGACCACCCTGAAGATATACAATATAATTTCACATATCGCAGTGCTGTGTGTCCGAATGCATGTCTTCTGGGGATCATCAAAACTATTTTTAGACACTAAAACTAATTCAGGGAGACAGTCAGACGGCAAAATATGTTCACCTTAAAAAATAACACCTTGAAGAAAAGTGATTTTATGTTTTGCTTTTATACTCATGAAAAAAAGACGTCAAAACTTGCTGTATTTCCTTTCAGTCTAAAAGAAGCTGAAGCAGGACAGGGGGTTTTCCTGGAGTGCGACTGCACAGTTAAAGACTCAATCTTGAGACATTTGAAGGTGTACAAGATTCGCAGAAAGATCACCATAAACCCTTGTCCCGACCTCTCTGTATGGGCTGTACTTCCAAAGCACAAGAGCACGGGTGAAGAGGCCAGTACACCGGAGCTCTCCTCCCCAGAAAAAGCTTTGGTGTGGGAGACTGATCCTCGAACTCAGATGATGGGCTGGAGACTGGTGGTGGACAGTCAGTCGACCCCTCGGAGGTCATTTCATCATGTCAGAAAGGTGACACAGAGGAGTATCACAAACATCGCTATGCGCTAGGTAAGAGATGTCAAGTCATTGCACACATGCAGTTTGTATTTTACTTAGTTTTACTAGTTTGTGGGTTGAGGACAAAGGATTTTCACGCACGTGTCCTGACATGGTTTTACAAGTTTTGTTTATTTTCTCTGCTGTCGTTGTTGTCTAGGACTTCCTGAGGGGGTGAAGGACCTACCCCCTGGGACGGCACTACCACTAGAGTCGAATCTAGTCTTCATGCAGGGTATCAGCTTTAGCAAAGGCTGCTACATTGGCCAGGAGCTCACAGCCAGGACTCATCACACTGGGGTGATTCGCAAACGCCTGATGCCAGCACGCTTGTCAGCTCCAGTGTCAGACCTCGAGGACGGAGCTTCCCTGCAAACACAGTCCGGCAAGCCAGCTGGGAAGTACCGAGCAGGGGTTGGAGAGCTGGGTCTGAGCCTAATCCGTATGGCACATGCCAAAGAGGTATTGACGCTTAAATCTTCTGACGACACCAAAGTGACACTCGAGGTGGCTGTGCCAGACTGGTGGCCTAAAGACGTGAAAGTCAACTGAAGACAAGGATGTTTTACAGTTCCCTTCAAATGTGATGTACATCAAATCTGACAGACGTCTCTTGAAAAGAACCCTGAAGTACAGTATGTTACACTGTCATTGCTTAACAGCTGTGTGGCACTGACCCAGAAATGGGTGTTTTTTTTTTGTTTTTTGCAATAAAACTTACTTTAAGAGTGATTTTACCCAAATTATTAAGATTATTTAAAACACAAATATGATACTAAAAATATCTGTTTTTCAGCACTATAGAATTATGTTTATGGTATTGGTTGTTGAATAAATATTTAAAAAACAAAACAAACTCCATCCACTTGTATCTTTTATTCACCTTTTTATCTTTCAGTGCAAAAAAAAAAATCTAAACATTCACAAGCAACACATTGTATTCTACTCCAAACTAAAGGTGAGGCAACATCTTTACCATCACCATTTTTTCTTTTTCACAATATACAAATTGGCACTTGTCATTCAAGCTAATTCCAGATGATAAGTATATTGATGAGACACCACTGAACATCTTATTCCTGATAAAGGAGATGCTGCCCCCTGGTGGATTGTATGGTGTCACGAATTTGCTGTAACATGGTTTCTGGCTGCAAAGTCAAAGTAGAATGATCCAGCCGCTTAAAGTCTTCATTGCAGAGTAGGCATTCAATAATATGAGCCACTCTTTGTAGGTCAAAGGCAGCATGGTAAGGTCCAAGCACGGTGAGGGTCTCTGACAGATGTCGTGGGCATTCGGAGGAATCCCCAGAAGAGCAAGCATTCAGGAAAGCCATTCTGTTGTTGGCAATGATCTTTAAAAACGAGGCAAATTCTCCATAGTTGATACCAGAGCAGGCTTTCATGATGACCTGAAAAGTAAAGTATAACATTAACTTCACTTATTGCATTGCAAACATTCCCAGTAACAGAATGTTTTTTTTTTTTTTTTTTTTTAGAGTGTGCAGGTTGATAAGTCTGTCCCTACAGTACCTGGCAGTGCTGGTGCCACGAGTCCATCGTGTTTCTCCATTCATTAATCTCTTTTTGAACAGACGACAGCTCATTCTGAAGAAACTGCCACATGATGTCGATGTTGCAGCCGTTCAACCAGTTATGATTTATGGAGATGGTGTCCTCCTGCAAGATAAACATATAGAACAGAGAATTCCTGTCAAAATACGATAACAAGCCATAATGTTTACAAGTGTAATTTTGTTTCTTTTAGAGTTTACCAGATTATAAACTTGATGGTGCCAGCCACTGGGCACAAAAATTATTTCCCCCGCCTCTTGAATAATTTCAAGAGGTTGACAGGCTTCCTCGGAGTGTGGAAAAAGGCCTTTATCTCGCAGTTCAGCAGATGTAACATCATAAGGGAGGTTCCCATGAGTGTCCCGTAAAAACTCCTCCTGACCGGGGGGATACAGGAGCCATTTTTTCCTGCCACATATGTTTGCAGACCAACTGTAGGAGCGGAACACATCAGCGTGGAACGGAGTCCTGGTGACGAGAAAATGCATCGACTAGCATAAAACATCACAAACTAGTTTTTCACTACATGTCTGGTATGTGTTCTCATACATTTGAAAACAAAACAGATTTTTTTTTTCCCCACCATGAGCCTTTGGGTCCCATGTAGACAAAGCGATAGTCGTCCACCTCAAGTGTATCCCAGTATTCATTAAGCCAGTCAGAAGAAAAGAAGACCGGTGTGGTGTAAACATTATGTTCTGGAAAGTCCCTGTAGAACAAGAGAACAGAATTGACCATTAGTCAGTAGTGTGGGCATATAATAATAATAATTTATACTTTATTGATCCTGCAAGGGGAAATCAGTTTTTTACACTCTGTCTAGTGAACATGCTACACAAACAGGATCCTATGGACATGCACTAATGGAGAGGTCTCTGAGTGAGGGAGCTGCCCACAGTGAGCGCTCTGAGCTGGTGGGAGGCAGGTTAGGTGCCTTGCTCAAGGGCACCTCAGCAGTGCTCAGGAAGCGGACTGCCACCTCTCCAGCTACCAGGCAAATTTCCGTGCCGGGACTTGAACCGGCGACCCTCCGATTCCCAACCCAAGTCCCTCCAGACTGAGCCACTGTACACTGTGCAGTGTGCAGTAAAAATGTAATGCAATCAAAACTGATACCTTGACATGTGCCAGTCTTTAAGATAAAGACACCCTTAGGTGACGAATGGCCATTCTGGATGTATTCCCTCCAGTATTGTATAAATTCTTTGAAAGGCATCACTTGTTTCGGGTTGGCATTGTACTCCTTTGCGTTGCAGTTTGCGACAGGAACAGGAGTCTCCTCTGTCGTGAATAACAAACAAAAGTCATCTACAATTAGGTACATCAATGGCAGCACTTGCATGTTGACGCATTTAAATGAGTAATAGTCACATGGTTATTTACCAAACTGTTGGAGCAGTTTCTGGAAATTAGGCTTCCCCTCCTCAGACACCCACTGCTTCCTACACTTCCAGTCGTCTGTAAACCTCCTTGAAAACATACACGGGTGATTCGGAAGTAAGTACTTCTTGAAAAACTTGGAATAGCTCAACTCCTTGTCGATGTAATCTAAAAAATGAGGAGACCAAAACTGGTCATAAGACTGTCTTGTTATTTTTGCCAGACTGCAGCAGTTGCGATAAGCCTCCCTGTCCATGATGTTTGTAAACATTCAACACCTCGGCTAGCCTGTTAGCAACGCTTAGCTGTCACCGTTTAGACGGCAAGAAACGTGACAACAAGACTCACAGCTCCACCGGGTAAACATTATACAGCACATGTCGCTTCACATTTACAGTAAACATGTGCTCGACAGAGCTGGGAAAACTAGCACTGCGCTTAAAAACGTAAGGTTATTTTGTTTGCAGGTCGCTGCAAATGACTCCATCCCGAGGTGTAAATAACGAGAGTAATCAATGTCACCACAACCCTGTTATAACCTTTTACGTATTAAATGCTTGCAATGCACGCCATCTTATCTGTCCAGGTAACCGCCGTCTAATGATAACAATTGATCTCAAAGCCCTTGTCGATGTCAGATTTCTCTCGCTGCAGGATTTTCCAGCCGAACAGTAAATACTGCCGTGCTTTTTACATGACGTCACTTCCGTAATAAACATCAGCGCTACCTTCCTGGGAAGAGTGTGGGGGTAATGTTGTGCTGGATGTCCTGAAAGGCAATGTTGTCGGTTGTTGTTTAGGGAAATATTTTGTTCAAGTAAGTGTTGATAGATGACGTTTTGTGAGGCGCTCAGGTTAATGCGAGCTGTTCGGTAAGAAGGTCGCTCCTCGCCTCAGAGAAGCTAATCTGCTGCCTGCATCCCATATAAGGCTTTTTAACAGTATGTTACTGTCAGGATTACTCTCACATTATTTTCTTTGTTATGTAATAATAGACTCAAAAAGTAACAGTGTGTGTTATTGTATGGTAAACATGTAATAAAGAAGCTTTTTTTTTTTGCCCTTCTTCCAGGTAAAAAAAGAAAGAAAAGTGAATGTCCTTCCAAAATGAGCCGGATCACACCCATCCACAGCTGGTCTGGCTCCTATTACATCAACAGTGAAAAGCGATGGGAAAGTGGCACCCTGTCCCTCACTAGGACCATGCTGTACTTTTACGCACCCCATAGTAAGGAGAGTCTGGCCAATTTCCGCCTTTCTAAATCATGGAAATCAAGATGGAGTCGTCTAGTTTCATCTTCAGCACCCTCACCGTGCTCGAAGAGGGCAATGTGAAACACTGGTTTGGCTCCCTTAAGCCCAACAGGGTAGTGGTTTATAATGTGTTGGAACATTTCTGGAGAGAGCACCTTTTGTCCCCCAGCTCAGAACCCCGGGGGGCGGAGTGTAAACCCTCTAAAGGCAAAGAGCTGATCAGCCTGGTGGCAGGGGCTCAAAGAAGACTGGAGGACACTGGCAGAGTCCTCAGCCACCAAGGAGACCAGTTTGACAATATGATGCAGGGACTAGAGAAGATTGACTCAGATCTGGGAGTGGCTGATAAGTAACTATCTAAATATTTAATTTCACAAAGATATAATGCCCTTATTCGTATGCAGTAATAAGCTACATGCAAAAACAGGTTTACACTGAAATATGTCAATTCATACACTGATGTTTCTGATGTGTCCTTTCTATATTTTGCAGACTTTTGTCAGAGCTTGAGTCTCCCTCCTGGTGGCCTTTTGGTAAACTCCCCTGGAAGGCTCAGCAGGAAGCAAAGGCTGAGGATGCTGCAAGAGCTGCTGCTGCAGTTGCTGCTGCAGCTGGCAGAGAATCCGGTAGAAATAAGGTGATCACAAGCATCCCAGCTGTAGTGACAAAAGGCGGCGACTCAGACTTAAAACCCGGATGCCTGTTGGTGCTGGTGTCCTCACTGGAGGTACGAGACACAAACTGCCAACTTCTTCACCGCTTCGAACGAAATGAAGTCGACGAAATCAGGGTGCACAGTCCGTATGAGATCACTGTCAGACAGCGGTTTATTGGGAAGCCAGATATATGCTACAGGTTCCTGTCAGCCAAGATGCCAGAGGCACTGTCAGTTTTAGAGATGCAGTACAAAAAGAAGCTGGAGCTTACTAGTCAGTTCACTGCATTTAAGGCAACTCCAGTCTCATCTCCGTCTGACGCAGAGGGAAAGAACTGGAACGAAGGTAAGGCACAGAAAATATTAAAATGGCTTCAGTATGTTACTGTTTTCATGTTTAGTATAAAATCGACCACTAAGTGGCAGTACAGGTCTATTTTTTTCCACATCTGTACACTTATAGCTGTGTAGCCAAATGTAAAAACATTTTACCCGCATGACTTTTGGACACGGCCATTGGTGTCTCTCCCTTACAGAAATGTGTTTTGATGAGTCACTCTACCCTGATTGCCTCAGTTGCTGTACTCTGAGTTTACTGTCTGCATATGTCTGGAGGGAACATATGTACTCTGCACTTTTTCACCACCTCCTCCACCCACCGACTCAGGTTTGCTGCCAAGGTGCCAAGAGACCGAGCTCCCACTGGAGGTCCCAGCAGGAGATCTCTCCCAGTTGCAGGTGCAAGTCCTCCAGCCATCTGTCAGTCGGACTGAGGCCCAGGAGCTCAAACAGGTGAGACCTGTGTGAAAATATGACATGCACTACTGTGGCATTTATATTTCTGTACACAGTAAATAACTCCATGATTTCAGTTACCCATGTTTTGATAGGCCCATTCAAACCCATAATACACCATAATGATTTACATTTTTTTCACTGTATGTTTAAAATCTTATTTAGTGAGACCACAAACCAAAGTCCATCCTGATTTTAAGAGAAGGAAAGAAATCTATTCAGTCATTTGGTCAGACTTTACAACGTCTTTCCATTCAGAAGCATACAACATAAGAAATGTTTCAGACATGGTCTGCGGTGGCAAAACCTACATTGTGACGCACATCCAGAAGAATGGTTCAGACCGTTTTTTTTTATTCCAGGTAGCTTTAAAAAAAGTATTTTTTATGTAAATGGTTACCTATAGTAATTATCTTTTCGTATCATTATGTTAATGCACACACCCCAGCAATGATGGTGAGCTACCATACAGGTCACTAGGAACACATACTCTATGTCTTACCCAAGAGGTGAAGTCTAACAACCTATCCTGTGATCAGTGGTTAACCCACTCTACATCCTGAGCCACAGCAACCTTGGTACAGTACATTAATGTAACCAGAACCAACTGACCATTTGTTTAGTTACAGCACATTTAAATACACATCACATGTGGTTTCAGACTAACAAATTAATCAAATCCACGAGTTAGGCTTTAACAGCTGGTGCCAAACAGACTATGTGAGAGTTAACAAGATGTAGGGGTAAGAAAAGATCATGCAAATAATTGGCTGTAGAAGTAAAACATTATGCAATCACTTCAAATGCCAATTGGAAATACAGCCTTAAAATGTGTGGGTTTCCAATTCATACAATTAGTTGGGGAAATAACATATTCTTTGAACGTATTTCTTACATATAGCTTTTTAAAGGGGCCCTAAACGTGCATGGTTCTCTCTGGTTGACAAAATATTCAGAGATAATAACTTATTTTTTTCAAGTCAGTACCACTACTTCCAGGGCTTTTTATAATAATAATAATAATAATAATAATAATACTAAAATAGCTTAAATTAACATATGTAGTGTTTCAAGGGACACAAGGACGTTCACGTCAGAACACACGAAGACAACACAATTAAAAAAGTCCTTAAGCTGTGTCCATATCAGAGATAATCTTGGCCGAGCCAGTCTTATTATTGTTATTTGATAATGAGCAATAAGAACTTTGATATTGGAGTTATGAAGGCATCACAAGAGAATTGTCTCCAGGTTACAGAGATGTTTAATGAAAACTTGGAGAATTTATTTGATATACCAAGGAAATTAGAGGACAGCATGATGCAGTGTTTTCCATTGTAGTTTAGTGACTTAAAAATCTTGATTAAATATTTGTTGCATTGCGTAACTTGGGAAAAGCATGGTCAACACTTAACAGCTAATATAAAGCAGCACTCTGGTCGGCTATTGTTTGAATAAATCACATATTGTCTAAAGCTGTTCAGACTTCAAAGACTGACAATTTGGACTTAATGCTACGCTTCTGTACACACCCTGCTTTTACTGTAATTCACGTCAAGATTAAAATCTACAGCTGGGCGACTTGTACAGAGGGTCACTCAGTTAAATGTCAGGTTGTAAGCACTTCAGCAAATATTCCCTCTCGTGCAAGCATTTTTAAAGAAGAAGCTGCCGTGAATAGAAGGACACAGACTCAAAATGAAAATAAGGATCTTTGTTTTGTTATGTTTGTATTTTTTATTTAATCTTGGCCCTGTCATGCTCAAGACATTAGCTATTTAAGTCATGTATTTTTCTGTTAGTTCTAGCCTAAATGTTTAATTTTGGGGGGTTTTGTACATGACTTAAGTCCTCTAACCATTGTATAAGCAGCAGCTAAAAATATTCATGTTATGTGTTTTTCTATGACACATCAAACCTCCTGTGAATGTGAACTGTACGGTGTGATTCCATCATGTTCTCCTGCTTGAAATTGTAAAGTCAGACCTGAGTGAGGGAACACAGTGGTTCCACGGTGTGTACTGACATACTATCTGTTTTTCAAACTGCTGTCTGGAACTGTTTCTGTGCTTGGTGACATAATGTCAGTGGGTGTGTGAGTGTGTAGCATAACATAATATTAGTTTAGAAAGCATGGTGGTATGGGTTTGGAGGAGGGTTTATTAGGTTTTGCTTGGCACATCACTGTATATTTAAGTTGTTCCATCACAGCTAGCATACACAGCTCCCAAAATCCACTGAGAGCAGAAAACAAATAGTATTTTTATGATATCAAAGATCCCAGGAGATAAGCAAAGACGTCTGTCTGAGTATCTTCTCATGTTCCAGAAACTGCACAATATTAAACATAACAATGAATGCCATGTGATTAGCTGTTATTGCATCATGGCTGGTTTTACATTTTTCAGGTTTGTTCTCCTCTACAGACATAAAGCAGCAGGCTCTCTGGATTAAATGAACATTTCACTCTAACCCTATCTTCTTTCCCTTTTCACTAACACACTCACTTATACCTCACTGACCCCATCTTTGCACCTCTGCACATATGGTCCACACATTCCACCCTGCAACAGCTCACCATTTTTTTCTCTAGGTTTCAAGTTTTTTAATCTTCTTTTATTCGTGTCTTGCTTCTTAGTTTTCCACTCTCATCTGAGGCTGATGTGTTATTCCCTAAACAAAACAGTGCGTGTGTGTGTGTGATTGCAGATGCTGATGCAGCTGAAGAATCTTGCCCTGGAGGCAGAGACAGAACTGGAACGGCACGATGAGGTTCTGGACGTGCTGACGAGCTCCACAGACCGGGCCACCATGCATATTGAGAAGCACACCTGCCGCATGAAGAGGCTGCTGTAGTTCTGGCAGACAAGCAGACACACTATGGCACATTCTGAGTATATGAGGTCAACCAGTGGGAAAAGATAAATATGCTCTAAATGATTCAACGGAATGTTTTCAGTTGCACTTGATGTTTTAATCATATACTGTGTAAAACATGGAAATGGTCTCAATGACATTCTGCATTTGAAGCCCAAAATCCCTGTCCTCATGTTGGAAATGCTTGCTTACTTATTCCCCCTTACTTTGGATCAATAGCAGTAGGGAAAGAGTTGAAGCTGAGGCGGGCCTTAAGTCTGCATACAGCTACATGCGCCCATCTGTCAGTCAACCCAGCCTGTCCTGAATTATGTAAATTCATAAAAAACCTTTAGCTCAAATATTAACAAAGTGGATGAGTTACAAAACTTGACCCCCCACCCCCTGTTCAATTCTTACTAATCAGTGAATTAGCTATTCAGACCCAAACTGTTCTTTTACCAGGCTGTAAACATGTTAAATTATGTTGAAAAAAGAATTTTAACATGGGACCTAAAGTGGATTCCTTGGTTTTTGCAGCCATCCTCAAGTGGACACTCGAGGAACTGCGTTTTTTTGTACACTGGCATTGGCTTCATTTTTCAACATGGGAGGTTATTATGACATACTCACATGAGTTAGAGTTGCAGGGATTTCTGGGAAGTGCATCAATGTTTGCTGAAAATGCTCACCACAAACACTGACATTTGGATATCATTGAAAATGACTATAGAAACAGTGTTCTGACATCTTGTATCTCATCTATGGGATCATGCATGATGCATGATCTTTTAGAAAAACATAAGTGAACCCCATTTTTTCAAATTCAAAATAGTCAGTTTTATAATTTCCCTCTTTTGATTGATTGATTGTGGCGCTTGGTACACAGCCATCATTTAAAGACCCATCCTACAAAGGACCCAGCGTTGGCAGCCTGAATATAACCTCAACAGCTACACTGGAACTAGCTAATATAACTACCACAGTGTAACATAACCTTCTGTTTTAAAGATAATTTGACGTTTTGAAGGCCTCATCTGTTTTTTAATACAAGTATATTTAAAAATATGACAAAACAAATTATTTATTCTGTCAGCACAAATGTAAAGTCAACTGCATGTTGTTCCCATAGATGTTGTTTATAAGATAAATGGGAAATAATTCAATAATTTGCAAAGTGAAAGACTGACGGACTAAAAGTTTAAACGTGTTAGAGAGTCGTCTCAGCGTTTTTGATGATTCTGATAAGAATGCTTTCCCTTTTATAACCTTTTTTTTTGTCCCAGTGAATTTTTCTTTCTCAGGTCCGATGTGTCACTAATACTGTCTGCACACAGTTTCTCTGTAGCCCATGTTGCATGTCCCATATTACTGCTTTGTATCGCATCAAGTGAAAATGTTTCATCGATGTCAACATATAGCAAAATACTGTAAATGTGCAAGGATGTGCAATTTCTGGCACTCAGAAATATAAAGTAAGACACTCTTCTTGTACTCAATAAGAGTAAGCTTAAGATGATCATGAAAACATGTCCCTGATGAGGCTGTTTATGTCTTCCTTATGATGGATACTATTTGAAATCTGTATTATCTGTCTATGACCGACACGTTTTATTTTAGTTCAGTGATTTTAATGGTCTGTTCTCAATGTAAACTTGCAATTAGCTACATACTGTATGTGAACTTGAAATATCTTTACCATATTTTTAAATAATCAATAATTACTATAAAGATGCATCCATAAATGATCTCTCAATATAAAAGAAACAAATCTGTCAAAGCATTTCATTTGAAATAAAGTCTGGAATCAAAATCATGATCATAAATAATATCCGTTTGATTGTTCATAATGCTTTTTTGGCTTTTTGCTGTTTTTTGTGTTGTTGTTTTTTTTACTTTAAAGTTTCAGCCATGGTGAGAAAACACAACTTAATATCTGTAACTAGCTTATCGTTGTAATCAGGATTTCTAGCATTGGCTATGTACCGTATCTCTAATGAACCAATTTGACCTTGCTATCCAAAGGAAGAGAGTTAGCATTCAGCTAGTGAGAAAAGCTGAGCTTTTAGTAGCTAAAGAACCTCCAAATGTATCAGGTCAGGTGCTGAGCAAAACAGAGAACAAAGGAGTACATAGCCTATTGAAGTTCAAATTAAATAGTTAAAAATGAATGATAAGAAACTACTGATAATGAACATATTTTCTCATATTATGAGAAGATTTCCTGTTTGTAACATATTTCCGTATCATGCGCAGGAATTGGGGAAACAACTATTAAAACCTCTCTCTTCAGTTTTTGTTGGAATGTGAAGGTTTAATTTCTCACTCTGCTGCTACTATGAAGAAAATGCTATGCTTCCAGCTCTGTGATTGGTTATCCTCCTATGAAATTAGTGCCATGTCCTAAAATTAGAGATGAATTTCTAATGACAGTATAATGGACCAATCACAGCTTCCCTCTTATTGGAGGAGGGGCTTTGCTATCATTATTGCAAGTCCTCCTGCTGTGAGAACAAGAATCTCCAGCTAGCTAAAAGTTCACAAAACTAAGGTAGCTAGCCTAACTCGCCTTTTTCCTAGAGTAACGGAACTGCTAGTAAGGATGATACCGTCCTGAATTCATTATTTACACCATTTAGATTAACCTTTAATGTAAATCAGGAAAGTAGGACCTACACCTGAGCTTAAATTGGTGAAGAATACAAGGGCTTTTTGGAGGTATAACTCCAGCAATTACAAGCGACACCTGTGGTGGACTCATCAAATGGTCGGCCTATTTCAAATCTATCAGAACGCCGTGCCAACTTCTTTTGACCTGGCCGCTGCTGCTGCTGCTGCTGCTTTTTTAAGGTTTACTGAGAAAACTTATCTGGTATTGTCAGTAAATTTACTAACTTTGTTATCATAGACTATAGTGCTTGAAGTACAGGCTGTAAGTTGTGGCCTCAGTGCCCTCTAGTGGCGGAGTGCACAACTACACTTTAAAAGACAGGAAGGCACTGCAGTGAGTTAACAGGTGCATTGACAGAACATGGAGCAGAGTGGATTTACTTTCCAAACGGTTCAGGTTGTGTGCTTCACTGAAGAGATTGTGAGTAAACCTGGATGTGTTCAGACTGACAAGGACATGCTGAGTGTTCTCTGCATTTATGTTCTAGTTTTTTTGGCTGTTCAAGTTTTGCTGAGCTAAGCTAACAAACACATTGCCTATTAATGCTCGTTTAGCCAGTGCATTATATGAACTAGAATCTAGTATCTGTGTATATAGTCATAAATGCGTACTATTAAGTGGAATTATATTGGTGTTGCAACTTAAAGGTAGAATATAATTTCTTCTGGTGTAGTTGGAAAGTATTTCATAGAATCTCCTGTATTCACTGGTGTGATGTCACAGTCATGTATGTTTAAGATAGTGTGGCATTATTTAATGTTTTCTTATCTAGACCAAACACCCACCTAGAAGACTCAACACCATCTTTGAAATCCTTTTTTATTTGGTGATAACTCTACCTCCTTTGCTGTTTTATTGTTGCATTGCTAAGGCTGGACTTGGCGTCTTAATTTTTGTTTCAGAGCTCGATTTCAGAGCCAGAATCGAGAAGTAAAAGTCATTTTGCTTGTTTTTTTCCCCGGGGTTCAATGTTTTGACAACCTATTTATATTATCCCAGCATACAATGAAATGAAATGAGACTTCTGATTTCTAAAAAAGGCTTTATTCTATTATCAAAAAGTCAATATCTGATGCCCCTCATAGTTTTTCCCTCGTGACAAATTACAGCAAAGACTATTAAAACTAGGGCAAACTGCAGATGAGATTGTGTGGATGTGGCTCGCTGTTATTACATCCTGTTGGCACTAAGACTGTTGGCATCGGAGCCTGCCTGTCAGGCTGAGACTTTTAATGTCAACAGTGGAGCAGATTTGATTTGGCAAGTGCTTGAGTGATCAATTATGAATGAGGAAGACGCCTTGCACAGAAGACTGACAGTCTCACTCAACAGTTAGCATGAACTTATCACTCCTTTTAAACAAACCCAACATGAGAGATGGGAGACTGAAAGCACAGGCACATAAAAACAAGGGACGCCTAACGATGGCATTAAGAAAGGTTCTTCCTCTGTGGATATGTTTTCACTGTGGACTGATTATTTTGGTTGATTTGAGTGATAAACAGTGAGATTCTGGAAGTCCCAAACTCCAGAAGCACAACCACATGGTTATGTGAATTCCAACCCTCAAAAAAGGGGTTAGGGAAACAGAGTGCACACTGGCGTGGTTTTTCGGAGCAGCCTTGCAATACGAGGAAGTGGTGGCGGTCTTGTCTGACCACAGATACATGAGATCCGGCTTTGCCTTCCTAACGGATGGTATTGAGACACGAGGGATTCTGCTGGCCTTGACTTCCAAGACTGTTTACTCGATAGTTCTGCGGTGAGCGCTCTCATTCAAGGAGCGTGTCAACTTTGATGGCCAATCAATCAACTCTAGCTGGGGAAAAAAAGCAGCCAAAGTTTGTGGGCTGCGAGGGCACTTTGATCCAAACTATGAAGCCATGTGACTGAAGAACAAATACCGTAAACTGCAGTCATCATCCACAGGAGTGCTTTTCAATTTCTATTGGTAAAATTAAAGCACTCTTTTTGCTTTATTTGGCAAAGTTTATATAACCTAACAATTATAATTTATTTGGTAATGTTTTTCGGGCAATCTGTCATCACTTCCACTAATTATAATTAAGAGAAATTGTTGATGTTGACCAGACCTAGAAGATATTATAAAAAACATATTTCACTCCTAATGCACTATTAGACTGCTTGCACCTCGGTGTAATGGGCTGATTTTTGACTCACGTTTTGGCCAGCCTCTTACTCTTGCAGGTGTTGCAGAGTTTCTTTTTGCTGTGGGAGTTTCTGGTTTCAGGAAATAAGGCCTGTTGGTTAATGTTAGAACTGGGAGAAAACGTTATTGGAAGGAAGGTGCTTGAGTCCAACCAGGGGGTGTATATGAAGTCTACAACAGAGAGCGATATGACACCATATATCAACGTCATTTTCTTGTGTCTGTCAGCGCGGCAACACTTTTCTCTTCTGTTTAAGATGGACTACAGGCATACATTTAACTGTGGATTCACATTTGACTGTTCCATGTGGATATACATTCTCTACACATACATTGTTTGGATTTGGATCCCTCTTTGGTTTAGTCAGACCACGTAGGAGCTTCACGATGGCTGTTAACATGGTACTTTCCCAGATGCTGAGCTGCGTGATGATATCATTTGCTCTTGCACTTATTGTTATGTTTTCCTTGGTCTATGAGGTGCTCTTTGGTTTTCTGACTTTTGTTTCACAAACTTTCTGCGCAACAAAGTTAACAGCCAAGCATCCAAACCAAACTTGGCTGCGGTTTTATACAGTAGTATCGGTCTCAAATCAACTCCAGGTGAGATCCCACAGTTATAGCCCACCTGAACTCTGCTATAGTGTTTGTCTTTGCACACACTGTGTTATTGCTACTTTTACAGTTGTGTTACTCATGTTAAGATGGCTCAGCAGAAAAACAGATGTATTTAATGCTATATCAGGTGGTTTCTAATGACTTAAGTCAGAGCTCTTTTTATTGAGACATAAGCATCCCCATTAGGTAACCCATTGGGCAAAACTCACCTTCTGGCATCAGTAAGTTTCCAATGATGAGTGTTTGTCCATTACCAACAAAAATTCCACTACTGCTCACTCTAATGAGTTATGGTAAGTGTATTTCTATGTTTGTTTTGCAACTCCAAAGATGTGATTAATAAGAAAAGAGCACAAGAGAACAACCAGAATTGAGTCATTGGCACAGGAAAATGGAGCAAGTAAAATGTATGGTTGAATGTCTGCTTAGGGCTTCCGTAGAGTCGACATGTTCAGTGAATAAGGGGACTCTATGCATTATTTCATATGAAAACCTCCAAAGAATGGAATAACCCAACATTATTTAATGAGTGTCTCCCTCTCAATGGATTCAGGCTCTTATATTCAAATTGGCAGTTTATTCATTGTGAACGTTTGAGCACAGTTATAGTTACCAACAAGAGAATTGTTTAGCAGGTTATATTCTCTTTAGGATACTCCCTAACCCTCCTTATAAGGTGGATAAGAAGACAACACCCCTAGTGCACTACCTTTGGCCAATGTGAGGACTCCTCCTTCTGTGTTTGAGATTTGCGTCGGTATTCTTTAATCTTCACAGCTCCGCAAACAAGTTGTCAGGCACTGAGCCAGTGAACACTGCATCAGTACTTTAACAAGCGGCCCCCCCAGAAACCTACAGTCAGGCTGTTTTTAGTGGCTCTTACTGCAAATGGAAACACTTGGCTCCCACAATAAATTACCCACCCTACTGATGCCACACTGCAAAGAGCCACAGCTAGACGCACACAAACTATAGATTTATATTTTTACAGTAAATCCTCTTGGAATCTGCTGGGTGATGGTGACTTTGAGTCACATGGGCTTACATGAGGGTTAGAGAAAATTAATCACACAAAGGCTGTTGCACCAGTGTACAGCCTGCAGGGCCGGCAGTTTGATTAAAGTTAAGGTTGTGCCCCTCCCCCCCTTCCCCACCTCCTGCATCTCACTGAGGTTGACATAGGGGTCATTTGGGGACAAAAATAGACTTTCTTTATTACTTTTTTTCCCCTGGAAAGTAAATAGCCATTAGTGCAGCAGGCCAGTGATCTCAGGGGCAACACTAGTGTTCAGTCTAAAACTATTGTTTATACTGTGGATGCATGATTAAAAGAGACGGCGGGGTACAGTCGGCCCTGCTGTTAAACAGAG